CCCTGAGCCCCGGCAGCCCAGCAGGGTGAGGGGCGCCCACCCCGCTGGCAGCTGGAGAGACACGGATGCGAAAGAGACAGCGGCTCAGCAGCGATGCCGTCAGTCTGGCCGCTGCAGGGTGGGCACCGCAGGTCCAGCTCGTGGGGAAGATCACACAGTGAATAGGTACTAGCCCAGGAGCGCACCTGCCACCACTGTGTACCCCCTGCTGCCCCACCCGGAGACCAGTCATGCTGCAGCGGGGAAGACTGGACGTCACCCAACGGGGGAAACTTGTTTTTGTTTGTTTATGTATATTTTATTGGTTTTTAAAGACAGGAAGGGAGAGGGAGAGAGAGAGAGAGAAACATCAATGATGAGAGAGAATCGTGGATGGGCTGCCTCCTGCACACTCCCCATTGGTGATGGAGCCCACAACCCGGGCATGTGCCCTGACAGGGAATTGAACCCTGACCCCCTGGTTCCTAGGTCAACACTCAACCACTGAGCCACACCAGCTGGGCGGGAACTTGGTTTTTAAATCTTTAAAAAAAATATTGATAGTCTCAAAAATCCATTAGGCAAAGGATTGGCTTCCTGGGCCCAGAAGGTGTTTGAATGGGGATCTACATTCTACGTATGAACCCCCAGCAGACAGGTGAGCGCGCGGGCACGGAGCTGGAGGAAGAAGGCCAAGTTCTCTCAGGGACTAGGATGCCCACCTGAGGGATGGAAGCAGGGTTCTCGCTTTTACCCACGGGGGAGGGGGAGTTGGAGAGGATGTGTCCTACCAGTTCTGGGGCAACTTCCTAAAACACTGAGCCCCCGTGAGCACTGTGTGTCCTGCAAGACTGAGGCCACGCCCGGGCCAGCGACCAGGGCAGTCTCCCAGCTCCCCGCCCCCACCCCACCCCCAGCTAAAGAAGTCCCACTGTGTCTATCTGTGCTGCTCTTCCAGCGAGAAGGCGTTGAGAGAACACAGCGCCGTAGACCATGCTCGTTGCTGGGACTTGAGGGGTTCTGGCTTCCAGGCTGAGAGGCCGTCCGCCTCGGGGTGCCCATCGCGTAGCAGGACGGGCAGCTCTCCCCGCTCAGTAGGAGCCACGTTTGATCGGGAGCATCAGTAATTGCTCTCACTACTGTGCCGATGGTGGGGGGATTGCCAGGCCCCTTAAAGTTGAGGGAGCTGGAGCTTAGGGAGGATTAAGTAACTGCAGGTTACACAAGGCAGCCGTGTTCTTTGCCATCATCACAAACACTCACTGTCTCTTTTAAAAGTCCCCCCTGGCCATCAGAGGAGCCGTCAGGGGCGGGGCTCATGGGTAGTTGCCACAGCTGGGTTGAGTTAAACACGTTTGCTAAACAAATTTTTTAAATGCTATTTTCTTAAGAGTGTGGGTCAGCCCCCCCCCCCCCCCCGAGAAATATGTCCAGCCTCAACAGTTAGTAAGAGGAGAGTGAGCGGAGGCCGCGGCCGGAGCTGCCTCTGAAGCTCACGTCCTGGCAGAAGCGGCGGGAAGCAGCCGGGTCCGGAGGGAAACGCACCAGGGCCCTGGAGAGGTAGGGCCCTGCCTGGGCAGCCGGCAGCTCCAGGCCTGCCCTAAGGCGTGTGAGGAAGTCAGAGCGGAGTGAGCCTATTTCAGTGCAGGAAGGATGGCTGTTCACAGCAGCAAGTTGAAAATAACCTTAAACATTGGTGACGTGTGAATAGACTACTACGTGGTCCTTAGACGCACGTTCTTGAAGAACAGTTCATCTGGAACTATGTCCATGCTATCGTGCTAAGAGGAAAACAGCCTAAGACAGCTCCCTGGCCCTGGCCAGGCGGCGTGGTTGGTGGGAGCATCGTCCCATCCACCGGAAGGTGTTGGGTTTGATTCCCGGTCAAGGCATATCCCCAGGTTTGGGTTCGAGCCCTGGCCCAGGTGCACGGAGCACACACCTAGCAGCTGTTGCTAGTCTGGCTACTGGAACTCGCTACTTGACACCTGACTCCTTTGTCCTCCCAGGAAAACCTTTCCCAGCGGATCCTGGGCCTCACTGCAGACCTACTGATCTCTCTCTCTCTCTCTCGCTCCCTCTCTCTCTCTCTCTCTCTGGCTGTGGGGCCTCCAGGCAAGGGAGGGCTCAGCTCTGCCAAGTCCCCAGTTCCCTTCCATCGCTCCTCGGGCTGCCCAACACAATGCCACCCCCGGGTAAACACCAGGATCTGCGTCTCACGGATCTGGAGGCCGGAGGTCCGGGACCAAGGCGCTGGGGGTGGTGTCTCCTGAGCCTCTCGCCGGGGCTTGGCCACCTTCTCGCCGTGGCCCGTCGTGGCCTCTCCGTGCTGCGCTCACAGCCCTGGTGTGTCTCCTCTGCTTATAAAGACACCAGGCGGGGGATCAGGGCTCACTCACGTGGCCCCACTTAACGAGTTGCTTCCCAAAGGCCCTGTCTCCACATTCAGTCGCCTTCTGAAGTTCTGGGCTCGGGGCTTCCCCAGGCGAACTCTAGGGGAACACACTTCTCCTGACCCAGAGGCCTGAGAACCTTTGCAAGCCAGCAGAGCCGCTCCTCTGGCCAGGCAGTGAACTCGGCAGGGTTCTCTTCCCCGAGTAGGTGGTCAGTAAGTCTAATTCCGTGAGGCGGCCTTCCCCACGTGGAACTACTCGCTCTAGCAGCCAAGTCGTCACTGATGCAGCAAACACCGAAGTCACCTCCTGTCAGCCTTACTTTGTGGCAACCTCTTTCAAATCGGCTCTGAGCAGCACAGGTCGAAAGAAGTCACATCCTCCCCATCGGAGACACAAGTGCACCCGTCACAACGTCACGTAACAAGAGTCTCCAGCTTCTGTGGGACTTTCATATCCAGGTGGAGACACAGTCACTGAGCTGAAGTAGGTCAGTGAAAAGGGGGCAGAGGGGGGGGGCCCTCAAGACTCTTCCGGAAAGCCCAATCTCTCTATACCAGTGGTTCCCAACCTTGGCTGCACATTCTAATGATTAGAATCACCTGGGAATCTTTTTAAAATCCTGATTTCTAGGCCTCATCCTCCGGAAATTCTGTTTCTTTGTTACTAATGTTGTGGACAACATTAGTAACAAAGAAACAGAATTTCCGGAGGATGAGGCCCAGAAATCAGGATTTTCAAAAGATTCCCAGGTGATTCTAATGTGCAGCCAAGGTTGAGAACCACTGCTCTACACCGATAAAACTCTTCTAATTTCTGACCATCCTATCATCTCGCCCGAACACCAGAGGTTTACACGTCATCTCCGGATCGTTTACACGAACTTCAGGTGTGAGCAACAGCAGAGTGGGGAAGGCGTAGGCTTTGGGATCCGATAAACCTGGGTTCAAACCCTGGCCCCGCCATCAAGGAGCTGTGTGGCACCAGGTAACTGCCTTGCCCTCTCTGGGCCTCCCTCCTCATCTGTGAAACGGAGAGAATATGCACCTTGCAGGGACTCTGTGGAGGTCAAGTGAGACATTTCTGGGAAAGGACCCGCACAGAGCCTCGCCCAGAGCCCACAAGTGACAGCAGTGGCTGTGAAGCACTGAGCCCAGTCCCATGCCCTCCCATGAGGAAGCCAGAGGCCTGCAGCCGTCCGTGGTCACTGCCCGCTCTCTGGAATAGTCACTCGCCCACTAAATCCCAAAGGCTGGGCACCGCTGGTGACTCTGAGCGGCCGGAACGAAGTTCCTTGGTGCGGCCAGATCTGATTGCACCGTTTCTGGGCGTCGGGCGGAAACTTGGCTCAGGGAGCGGTGACTCCCCGGGTGGAGGAGGCGGGCGAGGCCTCCGTGGGATCTGGAGGGCCATTGTCCTGTTGGGGGATGTTCTGTCAGGCCACTGTGTGGAGATCCTGGGGCCGGGGTGCCCAGTGCGTGGAGAGCGATGGGCCAGGGCTGGCCTGGCCCCCTGCGCAGGGACAGGGGCATGAGGACGGGAGCGCCGGCGAGCAGCTCTCTCTAGGAGCAGGGAAGGGGGTCAGGCGCCCGTGGGCATCCCTCCAGCTGGAGAACCACGGCTTCTGCAGCCCACAGGCCGCCTGGATTCCAGCAGCCCCTCCATGGCTCGCCTCCTGAACCCAGCCTTCCTCCCACCTGCTAAACCCTCGGGCCTAGGCGTGCCCTGACGCTGCTGTAGGCGGCCCTGTTGGACAGGAAGGGCCGCACCCAGGAAACCGCTGGGTGTCTGTCTCACACGAAGGTGTCTGTGCCCTCTCTCCGGGGCAGGTGCTGAGGGGCTGGCCCAGGGCTGGATTTAGCTCCCCCTGCCCGGGAGGGTCCGCCCAGGCCTCGGCCTCCTTCCCAGTGGCCCCATCTTCGGGCTGCTTCAGGGAGGGGGCGAGGGACGGAGGCTGCCCTGGCAGGAGGGGCGGGGAGCAGGTGTGGGCACAGGTGAGATCTGTGGGGGCTCGGGCTGCTCAACTTCCGCAGCAACCAGGGTTGGTGAGGTGCGACTGGCTGGCAGACGCTTCCAGGACGCCCCAGCCACGCGTTCCCCAGCCAGAGGGGCACTGTGGCCTGAGCGTCACCAGCATTTCACAAACGGCGCCTTTTAGCTCATTGGAGACGCAGTCCTTCCCTTGAACAAACCGTGCTTGGCTTTCAGAGTGTGGCCGTCAAACATCTCAGAACCACAAGCAGTGCCGTGCAGGCTGCCTGACTTTCGGGTGTTACCTTACTCCAGCGGTTCTCAACCTGTGGGTCGCCAACCTGTGGGTTGGGACCCCTTTGGGGTTGAACGACCCTTTCACAGGGATCGCCTAAGACCATCGGAAAACACATATATAAACAGTGGTTCTCAACCTTCCTAATGCCGCGACCCTTTCATACAGCTCCTCATGTTGTGGTGACCCCCAACCATAAAGTTATTTTCGTTGCTACTTCATAACTGTAATGTTGCTACTGTTATGAACCGTCATGTAAATATCTGATCTGCAGGATGTATTTTCATTGTGACAATTGAACATGATGAAAGCATAGTGATTCATCACAAAAACAATCTGTAATTATATATGTGTTTTCCGATGGTCTTAGGCGACCTCTGTGAAAGGGTCATTCGACCCCCAAAGGGGTCTCGACCCACAGGTTGGTGACCCACAGGTTGAGAACCGCCGCCTTACTCTGATCTGTGTGAGATGGCTGTCGTCACGGCCCAGGCTCCGATTAAATTTAGCATTTTACTAGTAGTAGCCGATTTCCCACTATCTGTCCATGTTCTCCCACGCTCCGTACACGCCATTCATTCGCACGTGCTGTCCCGTCTGGTCGGCGTGCCTTCCCTCTGCCGTCTACACCGCACGTCCGCTCCCCTCTCAGGGTCAGCTCAAGGGCAAGAATCTCGAACAAGCTCTTCACAAAGGAGGGCATTCGGATGACCGGGAAGCCGAGGGAGAGAGAGCCTACCTCCTTAGGAATCAGGGAAACGCAACTGAAAACCACAATAGGGTTTCAGACTGAAACCTCCAAGCGTGGGGGAGGAGGCAGGGCTGGGAGTCCCACGGTCACAGTCCCTTGGGAAGCGATGTGCACTGTGTGGAATATGAGCATCACCTGTGGCCTAGCAGCTTCCCGTGCGGATCTGGGCCAGGCAGAAACCGATGCACACGTGCATGAAAAGCAGGTACAGACATTATGAGCACAGCATGGGCAGTAACCCAACCCTAGAAGTAGCCCACATAACCGTCAATAATAACACGGAATTAACAGTGAAAACGAAAGAATTCCTGCCCGAGGCAGCAGCATGGATGAACCTCACTCACGGGAAACACGCCGCCGAGCGAGAGAAATGTGCTGGGCAATGTCATTTATTTGACCTTCAAAACCAGGCCAAGCTAAGGCTATAAAGAAGCAGCACATCGAGTCCGAGGCCGCGCTGACCCACCGCCGTGCCGGAGGGGGTCCTGGTGTGCTTCCTCTGGGAGGGCGTTGAAGGGAGCGACCCTAAGATTCACCGGGAAGTCTCTCTGGAAGGCCTGGAAGAAAGAGCTTGGCCAGTCCTGATGGTGGTCAGCCTCGCCGAGGCCCGCCTGGCATCAGGAGCTTGGAGTGACCATTGGGGTTATGGGTTTTGTTTGGTTTTCCTACCTTTGCACTGAGCTGGACATGTTGTCCTGGCGGCTGGGAGCTGGTCTTACTATGTTGTTGTAAATCAGGGTGTTGCCTGTTCAAGTAACTATGGAGCGTATGAAGGGAAGCACATTACCACCTGCTCTGTATATTTTTTAAAAAAATCTTTACGAGGGCCTGGCTGGCGTGGCTCAGTGGTTGAGTGTCAACTTATGAACCAGGAGGTAACGGGTTCAATTCCTGGTCAGGGTCAGGGCACAGGCCCGGTTGTGGGCTTGATCCCCAGTGTGGGGCGTGCAGGAGGCAGCAGATCAGTGATTCTCTCTCACCACTGGTATTTCTCTCCCTCCCTCCCTCCCTCCCCCTTCCTCTCTGAAATCAATAAAAATATACATATATATTTTAAAGTGAAAGGGGTTCTGAATAAGAATGCACTGAAACAATAAACTCCGTTGCCTTTGTGTCCCCTATAGTCCCTGCTTAGAAGGTGAGGATGAGGTCGCAGCGGCGCCCATCCCTATGCGTTTCTTGGGGTTCAAAGCTGCGCACCGCGGAAAGGGACCAGAAACGTCTCCTTCGGCCCGAGGGACGCAGGTCGCGGACCGTCCACGCAGCCCAGCCCGCTGTCCTTCTGCAGTGAGAAGCCCCTCCCCGTGGGCAACTTCAGGACCAGCTTCAAAACGAGCTTTAAAACTGGACGCTCAGACCTACCCCCGGCTGCTGGTTTACACGTC